GATATTTTAAGACAAAAAGTATGGTCAGAAGACTCGGAACAGAAACTGCCGCGTTTCCCTTTGTTTGATTGCGTAAGACTTGAACAGAGATACATAGAAAATAAGCCCCACTTGTTTTATTTTTTATTTTTATTTTTATTTTTATTTTTTTAAAAAGAAGACAACAAGTACATAGTTTAGGCATCTGGAAAATGGAGAGAGAGGAATCTCACGGACCTTGTAGACGTGATTCATGAAAGATAATTTTTATTAATTAATGAATTTAATTACTAGACCGGAGCGTGAGAATAACCTTGCTTGTTTGAAAACAAGAACCTCTGCTCCTCTTTGTTTATTCCATGGAAAAAGACTGATGCATTCATTCAACGTCTCCATAAAAATATCTAAAACCTGTTACATCCATAGTGTGAAATAACAAAGTAAATTGTATTATGTTCACATCAACTGTTTTCATATATATATATATGTACATAAAAATTAAAATTAAAATATTTTAAATTTAAAATATTAAAATATCTAATCTTAATCTAATTTTAAAGACATAATAAATGAGATTTAATTAGATAAAACTTATATTATCTCATACTTAATTTACAATCATGATTAAATATAATAACAATTTCAATATTAAGATATCATAATTTTTCGCATCCTCAAATTATATACTGCTGTAGCCGGAAACAGAAACTAAAAAAATTACCCAGAACGGTCTGAACTGAAGATTGACAAAAAGATTGTTAATTAATTACATGTTCTTTCACGCGTAATCGTGTATATTTAAAACTGATGACTTCTTGCTTGTTTAAAGTTGGGTTAAATTTTTAATTTGGTCCTAAACTATTATATAGCTTTTTAATTTGGTTCTTGAATTAAAAATTTTTTGATTTGATTCCTAAACTATTATATGGACTCGATTTAATCTCCATTGTTTATCAATTTATCCAAATTTGATCATTCCGTATAAAAATCAACTGATATTTTTTATTATTATCGTAATACGTGATCATTATGTTATTATTTTTCATTATTAAATTATTATTTTTTATTGTTAAGTCACCATTAAATACCGACACATTAGCTTTTTTTTGTACGAAATGATCAATTGAAGATAAATTAATAAATAATAAAGACGTCCAAATAAAAAATTCGTATAATAATTCAATAACTAAATTAAAGATTTTTTTAATTTAAAAACTAAATTAAAAATCTGTATAATAATTTATGGACTAAATTAAAAGTGTCACCTTAGAGTTACCGTCACGTACTTACTTTCTTTTTATTTATTTATTTATTTTATTCATTTTTGTTGGTAGTGATCAAATTTACTTTGCTTAATGATCATATTATATCGAGGGAGGGGGTGTAGAGAATTCATACTGGGTTCCGTGTCGTAGGTGGATACTTTTGACCATGTGTATATTATTGAATTTTGTGATAATGTAATGAACCACTGACACTTGAGTTTGCTTAAACAGGGTATGAAGTAATCGGCCCCACACTTGTTAAGAATAATTTCTTACAATATACACGAGTAAAGCGTTTATCGGCTAATTTTATAAAAAAAAATTAAGAGAAAAGACTTTTTTAAATTATATTATATTATATATTAAATTTTTATTAAAAAAATTAAAATAACTTATTTTAAAGTAAAGATTAATCGGTCCCACACTTGTTAAGAATAATTTCTTACAATATATACGAGTACAACATTTATCGGCTAACTTTATAAAAAAAATAAGAGAAAAGACTTTTTAAAATTATATTATGTTATTTATTAAATTTTTATTAAAAAATTAAAATAACTTATTTTAAAGTAAAGATTAGATTGTTTTAATTTTTTTTAATTATATTTTAATAAAATAACATAATTTTAAAATATTTTTTTAAAAATCTAATTAATAAGTTCCAATATCTAATATATAAATATATATTGTAATAATAGTTGTTTCACAAATATATGAATTGATATACATATATATTTTTTTAACAATAAAAATTATATAATTAAGTTAACATCTATATTCAACATTGAACAAAACTCAACCTCAAGACCAAAGGTGCATTGCACTTTGCTGCTGAGCAACGTGGCCACGCGGGCCGCGTAGGGGAATGCTATGAATTTTTTTTTTTTTTGGTTTTTCGCTCAGTATTTGGGGGCTTCGTCCCGATTAATCCGGACCCGACCCCTATCGCGCACCTAAAAATAGTGGGTGAGTTTCCCAACAGGAGTTGCTGTGTACACAAGATCTCAAACTCAAGACTTTACTTAAACTGAAACAAACCGTTTACCACTTGATCCAAACCCTCGTTGGT